AAACAATCCTTTCAGCTTTTGCCTTTATCCTATCGTGAAGATCGTTTATCAGGACTATCGTGTTTTGTCAGGTTTATCGTGTTTTGGGTTTATCGTGTTTTGCGTTTATCCTATCGTGCGTGTATCCTGTCCTATCGTGTATGTATCCTATCGTATCTTGTGTGTATCATATCGTATCGTGCTTGTATCCTATCGTATCGTGTGTATATCCTATCGTATCGTGTATCCTGTAAAGAATAACGATGCGGGTACTGTATAACGGGAATTGCCAAATGGGAGGGGTAGGGGTAAATGTGTGGTTATCAACATTCATTGTCAATCTTGCAATGCATGATACAGTAAATATATATTCGAATATTATTTTTAAGGAAACCGCTTGGGTCGTGGAAGATAAATAACCAATTAATACACAAATTTAAACATCTTCAAGATTAACATCATCCGATTCTTGATCTTCATTTTCATGTAGATTTATGTAAAAATCATTATTTATTAAGTTGTTGATATTCTCATCGACGTTATTTCGTTTTTCTAGGGCACAAAAATATTGTGTAGGTTTCCAGATAGAGGAAATACATAAAAAATTAGTTTTCAATTACTTACATCTTGGTTTAAAGCTTTGATAACTTGAATTAATTAAAATCATTGATTTAATACAGACTTGAATTCATTTTATTTTATATCAAGTAGCAGATGAGTCTAGCTAAGCTGCAGCACTGTGGCGTTATTGTTTTATATTCTTGTCTATGTCCATAGTGTTATGGTTAAAGACTTAAATATACTAATAAAAACATAACGCTCATTTCGTTCTTTTTTTTTGGGGGGGGGGGGGGGGGGCACAGCCATACATTTTCAGTCTTCAACTACCAATTTTTTTTTTGACAACCAATAACAAAACAAAAAAAAGTCATCAGATGTTTCTTTTTTTTTCTTTTGAGGGGGCACAAGCATATAGATTGATATAGTAGTAATCATATCTATAGTATTCTATATATCGGCAATTTTTTTTTGGGGGGGGGGGGCACAATATAAAGAAATGTACCTTCATTACTATTTCAAATAAATAATAATTTTCTCCCTCATCAATGTTATTATTAAAACAATTTCAGTATACTAAATCCGCAATTAAAAAAAAAAAGACCATATAATATTCTATATACGTATCTATTGTTTTGTTTAATGAGGAAAAACAGAATGTATATATATATATATATATATATATATATATATATATATATATATATATATATATATATATATATATATATATATATATATATATTCAAAATGTAACCCAAAATTCCTTTTTATTTTGTTTTAATATATAACGGTACATATATATAATTTTTTTTGCATTATTATTTAAGCAAATGACCCATTTGTTATGAATATATTCAACGATTTCTTGATAGTAAAACATAATAAAGGGGAATCATCAAAGTTGAGCGTGTTTTTTTTTTATTGCAATTGGTTAATTTTGATCTAGAATCTCGAAACTCGAATTTCGAAACCTGTATTTCGAAACTCAAATCTCAAATGAGCCTTTTGGGTTTTCGTAGTATTCAAAATAGCATGAAAAAAATGCTCTCATTGTAATGTATTAGGTTTTTTAACGTAATGAAAATTTGTTAATGAATTCAAAAAGTTACTTGCTTAACTCAGTTTAGGACCAAATTTTTTTTCTAAAGAAATACAAATTGGAGTCTTAGTCATTAATAAAATCAAAGATAATATTCTATGGTATAATACACAATATATTGCATTTTAAACAGTTGGTCTATACTTAAATTCAAAATCACTCAATCAATTTACTTAGCTCTAAAGATAACTAACTGAATATCTACAGTTCTGTTTATAAGTCGCAGAATTACATGTAGGTCTAATATATATTTGTTTTTGTGATTTTTTTTTTCATATATGTTAGAAATAATTTGTGTGTGTGTATTTTTGTCTTGTAAAAGACTTGGACTATTGTCCATCCATTAACGATTTTTCGTCTTTTACATTACAACAAAATAATGCTTTCCTTTAAGAAGGATATGGAGATACATGTAATGAACAGTATTCAATCTCAAAGTTCATTAAACAATATACAGAATAGAGTAGAGCTAACGCGGACCTCCGAAATATCAGAGGTGGGATCAGGTGCCATGGAGGAGTGAACAGCCCCTGCCGATCGGTCACAACCTCCGTGTGCTCGTTGTCATGATCATGAAATAACGTGAAAAAAATCCGTCGTCAATTCCGTGTATAAATTATAGACTAACAATTGGTATAAAAAATGAGTCAGAATTTGACTCAATGATAAATTGTATTTGCTGACAAGGTCATTGTATCAACCATAGAGCTTACGAAATGATGACTTTCAACGAGACTGCTGATATTCTTGTTTCATCAACTTGCTTGTCAATAATTTACCTCGTTTAAGAAATAGTTCCTACGTAGAGCATGCCCTTGCATATCGAATCAATTGAAATATATATACTCCGTATGCAGGTGATGAAGGTATATTGCTGCTTAAGTAAGGGAAGTTGACGATAGAAAAGTTAAAGTCAACACGTTTATCATATAGCTTGGTTGTTAGATTACCCTTTGTGTCTTTTTCAAATAAAATATCCAACTATGAAGCAGAATTGTCGGACTCTGTGGTATCTTTTATCTCAAGCTCACCAGGATATATCATATCGACGCAAGAATGGAAATTATCGTTATTAATTGACAATACGTCCTCGATATATCTAAATGTCGAGTTGAAAGCAAGTGTTTTCTTTTTTTCACGCATAAGACTTTGCATATATTCTGTTTCATATGAATATAAGAATAAGTCTGCTAATAACGGAGCACAATTTGTACCCATTGATTTCCAATAGATTTATGGAATACCTTGTCTTCAAAAACCACATAGATATTGTCATTCAGAAACTCAAAAATCTTCTTGATGTCAATTGCAGAGTACTTGTGTGTGCAATCAGAATCTGTTTTAACAAAATAATTTTGTGAATGACCAATGATGAGGTAAGTAAATTAACGAGTTCCATTTTTATTGAAGAAGCAGCTGTCAATGATATCAAAAAGCCTGGATTTTAATTTGTCGTGGGGAATTGTGTGTATAAAGTTGAAAAGTCGTAAGTTTTCAAGCTGTTGATTTTTGTAAAGTCTTTTGATTTCAAATTGTCCAAAAGTTCTTTAGAATTTTTAAGTATCCACTCTGTTTCCTACCACATCTTGAATATATAGTTGCACAGTACCCTTGAAGTTTTTCCTTCATGACTGTTAATATCTTAGTGAGGAGTAACGAAAGAGGCTTGGTTGAACATTTACTGGAACTTGCAATGTATCTTTGTTTGTAAGGATTCTTATGAAGTTTCGGAATCAAATATATATATATAAGGTAGTTCAAATTCATTTTGGCTCTGTAAAATATTAAAAGTATTCATAACTGACAGGTGATTTTGAAGACTTTCTTCCTTAGAAAGGGAAGTATGAGTATAAGTAGGATTACCACTTGCAGAATGAAATCCAAGTTCTTCTAGAATGCAATTTATATAATGAGCCTTACAAACGAAAACAATGATGTTACCTGCTTTGTCGGCAGGAACCAATACGTACTGATCGTGTAATCTATCCAATTCTTTTTTCACTTCTGGTTTATTGAACACAGAAGAAAAGATGGCTTTCATGTTGCCCCTCAGTCTTTTAATACGTGACTTTAACATGGATCTGATAGATTTAATCCATTCTGACAAGGTGGCAAAGTCTTTTCAAATCTTGCCTATCGTCTGGCGTAATTTTCAACAGAATCCATAATATTTATGAAATTCCGACGCAGGTGAAAGATCGGGGTTCCCTATATTTACGACCTTTTAAAATAAGTGTTCTAAGGTCCTCATTACGAACTATATTTACGTCACATGACACATACGTCACATGGACAAAAAGTTATGGGGCGAAGAAAAAGATGAACACGAAGGGGGATTATTTTTCAGATAGTCGGTTTCCATGCCATGTAAAGTGTTTTTGTAATTGAAAACTTTTGAAGCAATGGTCGATGTATATTTGTAGGAAATACAAGGTGTAGTCATTAACTTGAAATAATGTGGAAGAAAAGACTGGACCCTTTTGTCATTAAGAATATTATTTATATTAAGCGCGTCAATTCCTTTATTGGCATATTGAAGTTTAAGGAAAAGACGGATTGTTTTAGCTGCATTTTCTTCCGTGTAACGAGGGGGTTTAAAAAGCCTATGATATGCAAAGTTGAAGTATTTGTACATTGCCCTTATTTAAAATCAAAATTTAAAACTCCTTCTACATACATGTAGGTACATGTACATGTATTTAATGTATTATTTTCTATAGAAATTTCATGGATAATGTAACAGCTAAGTTATAATAATAGAAATATAAATATAGTAGATACATGTGCGTTTTGAAATGAAATAATTATTCTTAAAACACGATATCTGAGTTATTTAATTAAAATTACTTGTAAGTCCTTGCCATAAAAAAGATAAGTCCTTTCACTTCGGAGTTCCGAATGACAATGAAGACTGAACGATAAGTGAACGGTGGACGCAAGGTAAACGCAAAGTAAACGAAACGAAGAGCTTACGGTGGAGGTTTTGTGAGCGGTGAACGCAAAACTGTGAACAGAGAGCGAACAGTGAAAGCACCCTGGACGAACAGTGAGCGAACAGAAAATTGGAATTTAAAGTAGAAAGTTTCAGGGATTGTTCAAGTGTACACGTGCGTGTACAAGTATAAAATTTCAACTTCTCATTTATCGTTGGCTAAACACTCGCAATTGCTTGTAATTGAGTAAGCATAATCTTTGAGATTACAAATAAAAATGCATTCTTAAAAAAAATAATAGTTAGAATGGGGATATTCACGTTTTAGTACTGATTAAGGTTAAAATTAGATAAAAGAAATATATATATTGAACAGTGAAAATGGACATAATTAATTTTAAATGTACTGAACATAGATTCGTATCATAGGTGTTTATGAAAGAAGAACTGAGCAACTTCATTGAGATGCTTTTGAAAAAGGAACAAGATAGACGGGAAAAAAAATTGATTGAGGAAAAAAGGAAACAGGAGGAGAAATTCAAAGAAGAAGAAAGATTAAGGAGAGAGATGGAGAAAAACAAGACAGGGAAAAATTCAGACAAAAACAGAGAAACAAGAGAAACTGTATTAACCTATAAGTTCATATCATTATCAGTTTCCCTAAAACATACTTTACATAGTAATGTCAATATGAAAGAAACACTCCACTTTTACAAGTAGTGAAATAAAGATTAATGTGAAAATTACATTAAAGAAAAAACTTAACCTTAGGCCTTTTTGGGCCCAGTGAATTTTTGAAAAAAACAAAACTGCTTATTGTTGATTGATAAATGCATCAAACATGATTTAGGCCTTTGGTGACTGCATAGCTATAAAAATAATCAAATTATCTGGCTAGTCAGTGCATTATGATGTCATAAAAAGCGTGCTTGTCCCCATATCCCGAGATATTCTACGGATAATTTTAAAGCTATTTTTCGATATTTAAAATAGAGCGCAAATTCTGACCTAAAATATGCAACTATTAAATGACAGAACTGTGTCTGAGGATTACAAACCATGTTTTATTTTTGAATCAAAAGCGTGTGCTCATATTATTTTTTCTTTGAATGTTATCAAATATACCTGATTTCCTTAAAATTCAAGAACATTGCAATTCTATAAAGCTTGTTTTCCAAGACCCTGGCTCTAAGGCTAAGATCTAGTAAATGAAAGGTGCCTACAGATTTATAAAATTTGAGAAATAAATTCCTTTAGTGAGGCTTCATAACTCTAGCTTGGTAAAATAAGGTGCTTCGGCACATAATTTATAGGTAAACAAGATAGAAAACCATATTTAAAACTGTCATTTTTAATGAAAAATTAAGAAAACCAGTCATGAATATGGTAGTTTTTTTTCATATTCGACAAAATAAATGTATCTAAATTGCCTACAGTCTCTCAGAAAACGGTAATTAGTATGTTCATGGCCTCTTCTTTAAATCAATATAAAATTTGATATAGATATCCGGTTTATTTTTCACATGAGTTCAAATTTAATGTCATGAAAATGCCCTATTCTCTACAAAAGTTTGCTAAATCCGTAAAGAACGGGAAAAGGAGAGTTAAAATTGATTATGACGTCATAATGGATCTAGCACCAAAATATTAGTCTAAAGTAATTTACTAAATCTTGACCTTAAGAAGAAAAAAAAAGAATAGGAAATGAAAGCACTAAGTCTCTTCTTTATCATGATGTTTAAAATGGAACATAAAGCGTTGGTCAATAATTGGTATATATACAAGGTCATTTTAAGCATAAAGCGAACCTTGTTCTTTTTCTCATTTATTTTTTTTTCTTTTCTTTGACAACAAAGAATAGAAACTAATTAACACAAAGTTAGATTTGCAAGTCAAGATTTAGTTGCATAGTTTTATAAAGATTATAGAAATGTCTGTAATTATTTATAAACAAAAGAGATATTACCGTATTTCCAAAGGCAGATATTCAATATAGCACTTTACAGTCTACTTGTTCTTCAGGTGAAGTGGGAAGACGAAGTAAATTCAAAAGAGAAGCTCGGACACTCCACTATTACAGCTGAAAGTAGTCGCTTGTCTTTGTCTAATTCTGAATATGTACATGGTGAAGACAGCCAAAAGGTATATGAGCAAAATTCGATGCCAATTTTCGCCCTACAAAAGAGTTTGATCATTGACAAAATTATTTTTATTTTTAAAATACATTCATATGAACACTGACCTTACAGGTATATCTCTAAAATTATCGCAAATATATTAATATTAATGTCAACACAAAATCTTCATATTTTAATTTCAATTAAAGAAACATTAAATAGATATTCCCACTAAGCTAGAGAATTGCCTTTTTTTTTTTATTTTGGTCCGACCCCATTGGACTCTTTTCAAAGTTATTAACGGGTGATTGGAGCTTTACAAGGATTTTTACAACCCCTTGAAGTTAGCATAAAATCAGCTTAACGCAAACTCTATGGTCGTTATGTTGACTTTGTTTGCAAATGAAACCTATCATGGGGTCGTATTTTTTTTTGACGTTTCATGTCGGTTGTTAGGTGATTGCTTTCTTTTGCTACCTAACTCCATGGACCTAATCAAGACAATGGGAACATAGCAGGTATGGAGATCAACAGGGGATTCCCCTCAAAAGCACCTTCCATCACTGTTGCTTTGCATTGTTCACGATTGGATTTGTTTACTGAATATCTGAGATTGATCACACCTTTCAAACACAAAAGCACAAAACCAAAACTCGGCCAGGGCACAAAAAAGGACACATAATTATACTGTAAACCAACTTTTATTCGCATGCGAGAAATATCCGCGAGTGCCGTGACCTCTTTTAATTCGCGAATATTAATCGCCGCGAACCATTAGTTTTGCTAAAGATTTGTAGGGAATGTTTCCTCAGTCGCAGAAATTAATCGTCGCGGGTTGATTTTGCATTGAAGAACCGCGAATAAAAGATGACGAGAATAATAATTGGTTAGCAGTATATTTGAAAAGATATATCAAAGTTTTTCCTTATGAAATATACCAAGACCAATAAAACAGATGACCTTTTTTTCTAATTGATTGGTAAATCATCTCAGTTTGAACTCCTGGAACGAGCTTGGAAATTGTTTAAAAAAAATTATGTAGAATTTAATAATATTCACAATAAAATACACAGCAATTTCTATGTTGTTAAGATGAAAACACTTGATACTCTGTATTCAAATTTTGATTTATTGAAATCTTGGACATTTATTCAATGGCCATAAATGGATCATTGTGTTTAACGTATTGGGCACAATCACTTGTCGGAGGGAAATTGTAACTCATATTAGCATTGTATTTCAAAAGATAAATTTTATTTTGTCAGTCGCAGAATAAAGAGGAAATACAACTGAAAGATATAAAAAAAGATAAAGAATCAACAGCTGATTATAGTCAAAGCAGTGTAGAGGTATTGTTTCTCGGAAAAAATGATATATATGTACTTCATTTCCTTTGTTTCTTTTATGTCCTTTTTTTCTTATAACGAAAGCAATTTAAAATGATAGATAAAATCTGATAATATCTGTTATAAAAACTGCATTATTTATTTAGCAATATATCTATTTAGAGTTTCAACACTTAAAACAAAGACATCATTAATTACATATATGTATCGAGATTTCCCGAAATAAATAAAAAGAAAAGGAAATAACGTTTTTTTTTTAAAGAAAACAACTGTAGAGGACCATAATGAAAGAAAAGATGTCGAGAAACCACCTCCTTCAACAGCAAAAAAGGAGTAAGATGCACAATAAGGATTAAACATAATTTGATAAAATAGCCTAATTAAAAACGCCTGCATGTTTTAACATTCTTTTAAAGTATTTTTGCCTAAAAACAAAAAATGCATTGAAGCAACCGCTAATGATATAACGAGGCTTAATGATAAAAATATCATTAAGAGTTGCAACTTTAATGCTTAATGACATAAATTACTGTATTAATGAATGACTAATTTAACCGCTAATGCTAATCGCCGCTAAATGTCAGAATTATACCATTAAGGTATACCTTTACTAAGATGGCTAAAAATTCCACTGATAAGAACGAAAAACCACCTATTGCACATTGTACACCTATGATTCTTATGTTAAATTTCAATTTCAAATAACTAGGTCAATGACCTCGTTTTCATGCTAGGGGCCCCTAAGTATTTCTCAGGAAATACCACAATTTTTCCCACCATGACCATGTTTTTCTTCACTCATAAAATATAACAATCAACAAAACTCTTCAAATAATGAAATAGTATAGCAATGGAACAGAATTGCTCCATATAAAGAAATGAGTAGAGTTTTGAGCATAAACGGGATAATTACTACAGTCCGAATTTCCTCTGTCATTTTTATATTTTTTTCCCTATTTTTAATGAAATATTGCAAAAATCGCACTGATAAGAACTCTTAATTATTTATACCCTCAGGCTACTTATGTTACCCTCATTCTCATGATTTTAATATTATATGGGGTCAATGATCAAATTTTTGAGATAGGTTAACCGCAGTGATCATGCCCCCGTAACGAAGTTTCGGGGGTATATAGTTTTTGTCGTGTCCGTCTGTCTGTCTGTCTCTCTGTCTGTCTCTCTGTCTCTCTGTCTGTCTCTCTGTTTGTCTGTTTGTCCGCAAAAACTTTAACCTTGTCCATAACTTTTGATTTGGTGGAGCTATGACTTTCATATTTCATATGTATATTTCTTGTGACAAGACCTTTCTTAGGGTACCACCAAATTTGACCTTTTGACCTTGACCTTGGAGTTTGACCCACTTTTACATGAAAATTTTAAACTTTTTGTTTGGCCATATCTTTTGAAAAGTAGATACCAGGACATTTGTTCTTCACATATATAATGTTTGTTGAAATACCTTTCATTGGATACCAACAACCTTGACCCTTTGACCTTGACCTTGTAGATTTCCGTACTTGTGAAAAAACTTTAACCTTGGCAATAACTTTTGAACGATAAGTAATAGGACTTTCATACTTCATATATATAATCCTTGTGACAAGACCCTTCGTTGGTGTACCACCAAATTTGACCTTGACCTTGGAGTTTGACCCACTTTTACATGAAAATTTTAAACTTTTACTTTGGCCATATTTTTTGAACAGTAAATACCAGGACATTTATACTTCACATATGTAATGTTTGTTGAATGACCTTTCATTGGATTCCAACATCCTTGATCCTTTGACCTTGACCTAGTAGATTTCCGTACTTGTGAAAAAACTTTATCCTTTGCCATTACTTTTGAACGGTAAGTAATAGGGCTTTCATACTTCATATATGCAATCCTTGTGAGAAGAACCTTCGTTGGTTACCAAGAACTTAGACCCTCTGACCTTGACCTTTGAGATTGACCTACTTTAAAAAAGCAAACCTTGACCATAACTTTTAAAGAGTTAGGGCTAGTGCTTTCATACTTTACACATTTGATACCTATGACAAGACCTTTTATTTGATAACAAGAACGTTGACCTTGACCTTGGAGTTTGACCTACTTTAAAAAAAAAATGAACGTTGGCCATAACTTCTGTTAGTTAGGACTAGGGCTTTCATGCTCAACATAAGTATTCTATGTGGCAAGACATTTCATTTGATACTAATTACATTGACCTTTTGACCTTGACCTTGGAGATTTTTGTACTTATTTAAAAAAAAACTTTAAAATTGGTTACTTTTATATTTCACAATTGTTTTCCAGTGAGAATACCCTACTTTTGGTACTATTTAGTTAAATTTGCATTAAAGAAAAGCTTAATCTTTGCTATGTTGCCATACGGGGGCATCAGTGTTTCACAAACACATCTTGTTTGTACATGTTCTTGAATTTCTTTATTTCATAGCATTCATTTATTTGAAATATTTTATGAGCCTAAATACATATAAAATTTGCAAAATGATGTCTTGAAATAGCTGTAACCTTCACTTTTTGATAAATATTGCAAGGTATAAAAATTTCAACAAAAATGAAAAAATTAAAAATTTAGTCCGAATTTCCTAGCCATACATTGAGTTTTGTTCCTGTATATTTTCTTCAAATACTTACATATTAATTTTTTAAATTGATATTGAGATCAAACTTAATATTTTGTCCATTTAGAACAATTTTTAATTGAATATATTATACTTTATAAAATTTCCTCTCTGATTTCTGAAACCTTAAGCGAATGAGTATGTTTACAATTAATGCAATGATTTATGACAGTAAGCGCTAAATGTTATTTGTATTGTTAAACGGCGCGGCGTTTTGTCATTAGTAGTAGCTACAATGCATCAATATATTGAAGTAATTGTATAATATATTAATTATATTTTATTTAATATCTATTTAGAGATAAAATTGAAATTTTAAAAACATTTTCATTGAAATCAATCAGAACAAGCAAATTCAAAGAATTGTGGTCCAACGCTTTTGGTGTCTATGTTGGTAGGATGTCATTTTTTATGACATATTGTGTCAAATCTTGTGAAAGGTAATGCACATGTCAAATATAAAAGCCCTTTCTCTTCTCAACTAAAAGTTATAAGGGAGTGAACCTGATGAACCCGTATGACATAATAGATTATATATATTGATAGTTTCTTAAGGAAAGGCAAAAGAATTATATACGTGAAGTATGAAAGTCCTTGCCCAAACTGTTCAAAAGTTCCAAACTGTGGCCAAAGTTAAAGTTTTAAAAAAGTAGGTCAAACTCCAAGGTCAAGGTCAACGGGTCAAAGTTCTTGGTATCCTATGAAAGGTGTCCTCACATTGATTATAGATGCGAAGATAAAAGCCCTAGCCCTTACCATTCAAAAGTTATGGCCAAGAATAAAGTTTTTTCATAAGTACGGAAATCCCCAAGGTCAAAGGTAAAAGTCAAAGATGCTGGTATCCAATGAGAGGTCTTGCCACAAAGAATACATAAATTAAATATGAAAGCCCTTGAATCTACCGTTCAAAAGTTATGACCATAGTAAAATTTTGGAATTTTTATGGTTAAAGTCCAAGGTCAAGGTTAAAAGGTCATATTTGGTTGTAACCAGGGAAAGGTCTTTTTAGTAGGAATACAGATGAGAAATTTGAAAGTCATAGCTTCAATAAATCAAAAGTAATGAGCAAGGTTTAAGTTTTTGTGACAGACAGACTGACTGACTGACAGCTAGACAAACTGAAAGAGGAATGACATTTAATTAACCCACGCTTTGGCAATATCGGGAGACAATAAAGCTTATACTCAAAATTATTTAAAGCAATATGAGCTGCATTCTTGAGAATTTTATTTTGCTGGTAATTTGCTATTATGATTAATATGCATGTAATCTAAGCCCTTATGATCTAAAAGACCAAAGTAAAGTTTATAAATGTTCAGAAGAAATATTTATGTATAAACAAATATACAGTATTATATAAGAAATCATTATTGTACAGGACGACAGTAATTCAATTTTGCGTCAATCAAAGATCATAAAAAGTTCTGCCATTGCAAATATGAACAGCAGAAGTTTATAAATGTTCTATTTTCCTGTCATTGAAATGGTTAATTACAAATTTGAAAAAAAAATTCTTATGTCAATCATGCAGCTCATATTGCTTTAATTATCTTTATGCATCATGCATTTTACTTTATATGATAGATTAATGTTTTGCAGACCTTGGGATATGTTCCAAATCATGGACAAAGAAAACCAACGCGTCGATGTTCACACACATACAAGTTTTCGAATTATAAAAATCCTATTATACATGTTTCTGTTCCTCGTCTTGCTGGCATCACTTGTAATACAGAAGATAAGTCTATTAGTTGCAACATCAAAACTTCAAAATATCAACCTTGAGAATGCAACTAAAAATGATACCATCGAAAACGAGGTAGGTTGTCTTTAATAGAATGCATATAAATGTGAGAAACATTTTATTTTGCTTCCTGCATAATAGCCAGTTAGTTGTTTTTTTTTTCCAAAATAATAAAAGAATTAAAAGTAAATACTTTTTTTAATGTAATTAATGTAAGTTTTGCGTACTCTATGATCATAATACTTCATAGTCATGATTATTTTGCTAACTAGGTTTCAAACCCAGAAATTCATAGTCTACTGCTCATGTTCGTGATGTGTACCCCGTATGTTATGACATTTCTAGCAAGCTGTTGGAAAGTTTTCTTTGGAAATATAGAAAGGCCATCATTTACAACCGTCCTCATGGTAAATAATTATGTCAATAAAAATGAATATTATCGAAATTGATACAATAATCTGTTGTATAGTGATATGATAGGAAAGTTAAAATAAATCATTTTAATTACAGTGTGCGATGACAGAAATGCTACATTCGATTGGGCTGTGTGTACTAGTGTTTGAACTCTTGCCTGATCTAGGCGCCGTGCAAAGGATATGTCTTCTGAGTGCTACAGTATTACTTCCGAGCGTTTTCAAATTATTTTCGATTCGGGAATCGCAATCGTTTAAAAAGGGAAGAAAATTAGGAAATGCAATTATTATAATTTTTGATATACTCGCCATTGTCATGCAGTTGTCAGCTATTCTTTTTCTCCTTCTCCCGTTTTTTAAGTTGAAGCCAGAAACAGATCAACTAATAAATGATGAAGAAACGCAAGTACTCGACAACGGTATTTTCAGTGAACTCTCCACAGATTTACGGTGGTACATCAAGGTATTACTATCGTTACTTCTCTGCTCCGTATCATGGTGGGAGAATTTTGTACTTGATAAGGATTGCTGCTCAAAAGCTGCTCAACAGAATATCCGAAAAGTTAGATACGAGTTACAGGAAAGCCGACCTTACATATACATAATTGTTTCATTCCTGAAAATTGCCACAACAATTTTGTTTGCACGTCTTCTCGTCGGGGAATCCATGGGATTGTTGAATGGTGAATTCTGGTCTGAAGTAACAGATTACAAAAATGTAGCCTTCTTCTCCGATATAATTGCTCTTATAGTATCCAGTTTCGTTGGATACTATGCTGCATACACATCCTGTAAATTACAGATGCAGCAAATCTCGTTCTCCCTACCTTGCCTACTATCGACGCCGCTTTTTATTACACTTTTAACATATTACTGCGAAACGAATGAAGATTTTATTACGATGTTTTCCACTAATAATATAGATTCGGATTGCGACGAAGAAATGTTAGGCAATAGGATTCATGTTCTGATTTCTGTAGTATGGCTTTTGTCCCTATATTGGGTTGGACAACACATCTGGTTTCCTACTCAGGAACGTCTGGCTAAAGTGAAAACGTAAGAATCCAAAAAATTTGCAAATAATATTATTCAATTTTCAGAAAATTCATTTTGTAAATAAGAAACATAGAATATAAATGATTTTTTGTAATCAAATTTCCTTTAACAGGTTGTTTGTTAATCCGCTGTATTGTGGGATACTATTAGAGCAACATTTGGTAATGAACAGAAAACGAATGCATCAGAGAATATATAAACGAGATATAAAGAAAAACGAAAAAAATAAAGTAGAGTTTATGTAAGTTATTAGTTGTTATTACGTATAAAGCATACAAAAGTAACTTAACGTGATTAGTAACAAATTAAAAACATATTTCGAAATAGATATATTGTTAACAGTTGCTCAGGAATATGACATAATCATTTTTTCATTTTTTTTAAGTTTTGCTTTTCATGATTGAAATTTGCATTGATGTATTTAGTTGATGCCCTCTTTTTGAGTGGATAACAGCCTCACTGCTTTTAGGGCTGTTAATAACTAGGGTTTTCATTGTACCTTTTAAAAATTGAGTACCGTTCTTGCAAGAGTTCACTCTCAATTGATTAACATTCATATAATGAGAGTGTGTTTGGTTTTCCGATACTCAAAAGCACGTTCTAAGCATGATGCTATTTCAAACCGAGACAGGCTATTGACCAGAAAATGATGTTACAGGGATTTCAACAACCTTGGTAAAAGTCAGCATTTCGTCAATTTCTTTGCCTTATTATGGTCTTGTTAAGGCTACAACCAAATATTCTATTTGCAAAAACAATATGATGTCATAGTAAGCTATAGGACGTGAGCTTAGAGATAAAGATTTCTTAAAATTTATTTTTAAATATTAATTTGAGGTCGGAGAAATGAATCGAATCGTGCAGAGTCTTAGATTGAGAGAATCGTGTTGTTTCTGGGTGGTATAAATATCCATGTATTTGTCAGGGGCTTAAATACCAAACCACTGACGTCATAACTGTTGATCAGTATTAAAAGTATGAAAATGAAACGTAACTGGAATTCATGTTAACAAACCCAATAGTCTATATTGGGTATATCTTCTTACCTATGGAGGTCACATGATGACGTCGAAGTGTAGTGCTTCCAAAAGTAAAAGTATCATTGAAGTCTATAAAATTCATAATGATAGCAAAAGTTTTATCCATGACTTTCCCGATTTATGAGTGTTACATATTATAAAAAAAGTGTAACTTAGCCGATTTCTGACCTGTGTGCTGCCTTAACATACCCACGTAGCAATATAACTTGTCATTGGTTTTTCATACAAATTGTTAGTCTGTTATTTATATACTTGGTTGACGACAGATTTCTTTCCGTCATTTCCCGATTATGACAACGAGCACAGGCCGGATGTGACCGGTCGGCAGGGGATGCTCACTCCTCAATGGCACCTGATCCCACCTCTGATATTTTGGAGGTTCGTGTTTGCTCTGCTCCTATTTTGTTTCGTTTTCTTGACTTTCGATTTTAAAACTGTTTGTTATCTCCATATGTGTCCTTCTTACGCTGACCGTTGTGTTTCATATCAATTGTTACAAGGCTTTTCTATACTAGAAGTCTTACTTATAAAAACCTAGGGCTCAATACTTTAATATCTCCCCTGCGCATCCATCCCATTTCTTGCTTTACATGCAGACTATGTTTTTGCCATAGATTTTGTCAAAGAAGGCATCAGGTGTGGCATCTTCCTAAGTCAAAAGTTTCTGGGGCCCGTTTACAAAAGGACTTTTGACTTATTTATATAACTTTTTAATAAACATTATATCGAAAATTATTTTAAACATTTTAAAAAGAATGTGGTGAGATATTTTTACACAATTTCAAACAGAATTCAATAATCTGAATTTTATGGTCTTAGTCATAAGTTCTTTTGTAAAACAGGCCCCTGATCCGCTTAGTTCCACATAAACTTTTGACTGAATAGACCAAGTTTGATGGGGTTAACTGTCACGCCATCTAGTGAGATTACATATATTCATCTCTACTGACCTCTGCTATTGGCCAATCAGAGGAAATGAATTCAACAGAGAATTTTAGATAAAAGTAGAAGTTGATAATACATTCAATTTATTATACATCTATTGATTATACTCGAATTTGATTGGCTGGAAAGTCAACTTTAAAACACAACAATGACTCCAAATGGTACTGTTTACAGCAACAATGATCAATGAATCATTGCATGTGGGATATAATGACCCAGTCATTATCAACAATTCCTTTATGAGTGAAGTTAATGCATAAAATGAAAATTATTCGAGACAAACAACGTTCATAAAATTGTGCATGGTCTATTATGCATGACCATGCAGATTACAGTAAAATCAACGGTTTACTCATTTCAAAATACCGTTACAATTCAGTTCAATGGGATGTAGAAGCGGCTCTTGAAGAGTTGAATTATGTTTTAGTTTTTACTGTGTAAAGGAGAAGTAATCGTTAGGTATAACAATGTATGTCGCTATCAACCAAGCATTGTTTTAATCAGAAAAGCATAGGCTAATGCAAAAACTTACGCGACTTGCAAAAGTCAAAGTAAACAATTTCACTATACAGATTGATGCAAATCCCGATCCCGATCAAAGAAAGAATTCGTAATGGTTTGTTGAGATTCATACTTTTCAATATATATCGGTATATTAAAACAATTGAGTACCACTTGTGGGTTCAACATGGTGAAATAAGGACCTTCAACCTGGCCAACTCGATGTCCTGCCCTGACCTCGGCCGCTACGCGGCCCTAGAAAGGAATGGTCACCTCGTGGGTCAGGTGGAAGGTCCTTATTTCACCATGTTGACCTCAAAAGGAGTGATTAATTGAATAATAATTCAATTTTAAAGCTGAGACAAACCTTTAAATGGGCGTTATTCTAAGGACTAAAACTGGCTTGTTTTTCCTGTTTCCAATTCTGTTTCAGTTTAAATAAAACAATGATTTTGATTGGTTCATGCTGAAAATTTGCATGAGGCCAATGAGAGAACAGATTTCTAACCCCTCAAACTCAGCCTAATCGGTCAAGGATTTATTTTTAGCGGAACGGATCAGAAACTCGTGACTATGGAAGATGCATGTGTGGCTAACTGCAGGGCTAACTTGAGTCGAAAGATCACAAAATGGTCTTTGCTACAAAATGGGTATTGATCCCAATTGGTTCTGAACAAAGAGGTCACAGGAGAAGAAAACACATTTTGAGTGTTCTCATTTAAATTTATATTTATAAATTTTGACGCAAATTTTTTTTCAGAAAAAAAAAACAGGACACAAACTTGCATGTCTGCCAAATTTTATATATTTTATGCACCAGTGCAATCATCATTTTTCTGAAAGAAAATCTCAGATGATCAAGCTTATGCTCCATGTTTTCAGAGGTAAATAGTATCTCTGATATGACAAAATGTTCAGAATTGAGGAACTTCGGTTAAATGTACCACTTTGTCGCCCTCTTGCGGCCTCTGTGTACGTTTTTCATAAAATTAATGCCTGTTTTAAATCAGGCATAATATAAAGACCTCAATTCTACACTCTCGTAATTTTGACTGTTATTATAGAAGCAAGGGACTAAATAAGGCCGTTTCTTTTGCTTGTCCATTATTGGTTCTGTATGAAGGATGTATGTGAGGGTGAGTAAATGTGTGTAAGAGAGAGAGCACGTTACATTTATTTATGCGATTAATAAGCACATGATCATCTATAGTTTCAAGTATGGAACTATGAACATACTGTTACATTATTTTTCAGCCTAGAGACGGACAACAAACAAAGGTTTGTATTTTTTATATTTGATTTTTGATTGGAATACCGATCTTTTTGAGGAAAAAGCAATTCTTACATGAACTGGTACATATTCAATATAAAAGTATAAATCGGGATATAGTTCGTAGAAGATTCTAAATTGGAATATCCCAAAGCTAGAGCAATAGAAGCCCATGTTATTTTCAATTACCGGGGGAATGCATTGCTCGTTGTACCTGGAACTAATTATAATACAGGAATCAGGATAAGTGAGAGGCAAATACGCATCAACACCATTTTTTTTAAAAATGGTCTTTCCAGGATTAATGTAAACAAGTGAAGGATAGAACTAGCATTTCTAGTAAAAACCTACTTAAAATCAGTTTTGACCTACTTAAATAAAAAAAAATATCTTCCCATCAAAATGGTTTGAAAATGGAAACAAATAACTAAACAATTATTCAAAATATGTTATGAAAGAATAATAATAATAACTAGTAGACTAATTGTTCAGTGAACAATTACAGGCCTTACCACCTTTTAAAAGAGTTTTCCTGTTATTTGAATTGGAAAAAAGCAGAAAAACGCAAAAAAGTGAGCCCAAACAGGATACGATCCCTAGAACTTCGGATTTACAGGCGAACGCTCTTTCCACTACATCGTGGGTACCATTAAAATTTTCTTGTATTATTGTCGAGTTAAAGTTGCCGCGATTTCCTTGAATTTCATTGACAAGTCATGTAGCGCAAGTTAAAAAAAAACTTCTGACAAGCTCCTGAGTGTAGAATGAGATTCTTTATGAGTCAGGATGTAAGGGATATTGTCTGTTTACAATTATGATATTGCTATTTACGGGAATACATGCAGGCATGAGGTTGTGTAGCAATTTATTTATTTGAAAAAGGCCACGTGTGTTTTGACAGATTTGGTAAACTCACAAGTCCGATTAAATTATAATTTCTATCTGAATTGAATAAATAGTTACAGCATAAATTGAAATTGAAACATGCATGAAAAATGTGTCATTGGACATTTATTTGAAAGGAAAAAATCGCTATTTTAGAGATTCATTCCATTAATTTTAAATCTAAATAAAATTGAAATAAATTTCACATACTAAAGGAAGCAAGGATACTTGGTATTAAAATGTAGAATTAGAGCAGAAGAATCGAGAGATATTAACAACGTGTTACACTAGGTGCAGACACAAAGAAGACCCCTTCCCGCTCAATGGCCCTCTGTGCCAAGTATAGAATAAAATTTGCAGCCTTCCATCGGCAATTGGTCGCATCTCCATATGAGTGAAAAAAAAAAGATTCTTGAGAGGGGCGTTAAACAATATACAATAAATCAATACAATCAAAACAAGTATTTCGTAGTTTATCTGCAGCATGACAATTGTCTTTGCACGCGTACTAACCTTCCGCTGAATACGGCAACCAACCCTATGAATATGTAGTTTTTGAAACCGTTTACGCTTGCATTCATAAGATAGGGACGATACATAAACTGTAAAATGCATATCAACGACGATAGTCATTTAAAAGCTAGCAAGGACGCAATTAAATATGAACAGATATCGCACTTTATTCAAAAACTTAAAATAAATGGTAAGTCATTTGAATATGACACATATGTGAAAAAATCACAGGTTTAAAATTTTAATGCATTTTTTGTTCGTCACGTGACTTTCAACAAGATCTTCTTGATTCCTTGTATAATAATATATCACAAAATTACAAAATTATTTGCCGATGCTCAACTGTTACTTTTTGTTCTACTCAAATTGCCTTTTCATCATCAGCGCAACAAGTAAATTTGTCTCAATACATGATATGAAAGATATATCCCTATTTCCATGTAGAAAAAAAAAATATCGATTATTTTTTTAAGGGATTTGAATGAGGAAACCAAAACAAATTCAACAATCCCTCCTCTTGTTTACGCATGCGCAACTATGTGGCATGAGACCCGCTTTGAAATGGTTCAACTACTAAAGTCTTTGTTCAGGTTGGTATTGTGTGATGTATTTCGAAAATTGATGATTATTTCAATATCGTTGATAATTTTTTTCTTGTTTTTAAAGATTAGATGAAGATCAGTTTAACAGAGCAGAAACATACAAATTTGCAAAGGAGGAAAAAGAAAAAGGAACAAACGAAACCAACCTACATGTACCTGAAGACTACTATGAATTTGAAGGTAATTTACGAGCTATTAAGTTTTTATATGTTATTTTTTTATCACTAGATAAATAATTCCTGCTTTCAAAGTAAATCACATATTCTCGCTTACTCTTTTTTTTTTTAGCTCACATTATGTTTGATGACGCATTCAATGACGAAGGTCGTGTGAACGACTTTGTGAAAACATTTGCATCCGTAATCAATGAATCAGCAAGGTATATAATGATTGAGCGATGTAGACACAAGAAATAATTTTATTTAAAATGTGCTTTCTCATCAGCGTGAGCTCTTTCTGCTTGATCAACTGCAAGTATACACTTTTTATAAAGCATAAAATACAATCTTTTTAGCGCTGTTCACGGAGAGGCGATTGAACTTGAAAAACCCTTCCTTTTTAACACGATATATGGAGGTCAAGTGATATATAGGCTGCCTGGTGGAAATTTAATGTTCATTCATTTGAAAGATAAATCAAAAATACGCCACAAGAAAAGATGGTCACAGGTTAGGCTTTCTATTAAAACAATAAACAAATGCTATTAAATTGAAGAATGTTATAACCTTTCGAATACATGGGCATTTTAGAATGTTTTATACCATTGCGCAATCTGGCTTTTAATATCAAATCAAATGACAGTTAACAAAGTTTTCTGTTTAAATCCATTACCAATATTCTCTGAATTGGATATATATGAACAGGTGATGTACATGTACTACCTGCTTGGCTATCGCTTAACAACTGAGATATCTCACAAAATCCTCAAAGAAGCTGAAGAAAACAGCACAGGAGTAGAAGTATCAGAGAGTCTGGATGATTTTGACATTAAACTAAAAACAAAGGTATCACTAACTCAATCTAATTAAAATTAGATGTTCGATCCGCTCGCATACTCTCTACACTAACATCTAACAACATCCCATTGAGGGTCACGTCAGAGGTCATATTTTATCAACCAATCAAATCGTCGCTGGCAAAATCATCGTATATTGTTGAAGCTAATAAGTCTAGAGCTGTTCTGAATTTGACCTCTGACATGACCCTCAATGGGATGTTGTTAGATGTTAGTGTAGCAAGTATGCGAGCGGATCTAACATCTAATTTTAATTAGATTGTCACTAACTAAAACTAAGGTAAAAAGAAGCTTTGTTAAAATGTGTTATTATGAGTAATCTGTATGAAATCCAAATCCTTATGATCAATAAAACCAAAATAAAGTTTTAAAATGTTTCAGAAGAAATATTTCTCTATAACTGAATATGCAGTATTATAGAAGAAATAATTATTGTACAAGAAAACAATAATTCAAATTTGGTTAAATCAAAGCGTATATGTTCTTTCATGGCAAATATAAACAACAGAAGTTTATAAATGTTCTATTTTTTGTCATTAGATAGTTTTTTTTTTTTTTTTTTTTTTTTTAATTACAAATTTGCTACATTTTTTCCGATGTCAAACATGCAGCTTATATTGCTTTATTAATACATGCAAATTAAAGCAAAAGTAAAAAAAACATGATTTGTATATACGTTGTAATTGCTTTAAAAAGATATTGGCTTCTAATCACGATCAATTTCATTTAAAACATTTAAGAAGTTAAGGCTTGATAAATTATGAAAATTGTTTAATTTCATGGAATAATTAGGCTGAAAACACATTTCTCCTTGCTTTGGATGGGGATGTGGACTTTACACCAGGTTCGGTGAGACTTTTGATTGACAGAATGAGGAAAGATGAGAGGGTTGGAGCCGCATGTGGACGCATTCATCCAATTGGCAGTGGTAGTGTAAAGATAAAATATCTAGAAACAGTTTATATTATGTCTTTAAATAACCATAACAAAAGATACCATATATGAGTTCTTTATCATCATGCATCATGGGACCTGTGCCCCAAACCCAAAACCCCTGAAATATATACTAGGATTTTTCCGGGTCCAAAGATTTTTTTGCTTTCTTTCATTAATAAGATTTATAATTTTCAACATACAAATTCAATACTGCAGTTAAAAAGTTAGAAACGGTTCTATGAATTTTTAATAAAAAGTGAATTCTATGTACCTTTCTGATTTGTCATATGAAATACGAGGGGCATTTCAAAAGTACTGGCACATGTTTAATAAAAGATTAACCTTCTTACGGAAATTATTAAGTTTGACATCATTGGAAAGATCAGAAAAATATACACATATTGTGACGTCATTTTTTAATGTTTATGACGTGATAACTCCAAAAATGACGTCAGAATGACGTTGGACCCAAATGCCAGTTGGTGGAATGTTTACATAGACTACAATCTATCATATGATACTTTATTTTGGGATCTTCTTGTTCTGAAATTGTTTTAGCGAGTGTCAAAGGAGTATATATGATAAAAGCCAATTTTGGCCCCCTAAAAATCAACATTTTAGAATGACATTCAAATATGTTTATTGATATTTATTTTGTAGAAGAGATTATATTAGAAATATTTCCAATATATTTTTCACATTTATATGCACTCACTAGCTGTAAATGACATTAGAAATAATGTAATTTTTTGCTATCTAACAAAAAAGCCAAAAATATGCCTTTTTCTTGATGTTTTTTTCTTCTGGGAAACATAGAGCGCAGTGTAGAACATACATATTTTTCTTTCACTAATTAGTATTGGATAGATACATCTTTGTTAAAAAATAAATCTTGTTCTAGGCTGCGCTCTATAGTTTCTGGAAGAAAAACTGCTTGAAAATACGCAGTTTTATACAAAATATGCTAAAATGGCGGGAAAACGTTATTTTTATGATGTCATACATCTAAAATAACGGCATTTTGATCAAAATGAAAATGACCAATAAAGGCCGCATATATAGTTGTACAAATTAAAGCTATAAATAAAGTACAATTAAGATATTCATTTTAAGGTGCTAATTGAGACACTTACCATATATCGCTCTTTAGCAAGTTAAAACTTCGATTATATATTTAAATGTATATATTGGTCGTTGTGTCAAAATTACTCTGTGTGCGGTCAAAAGTATAAAGTATATTTTCTTATTATACCCCCCGCTTGAAAGCGGGAGAGTATATAGTAATCATCAATTCCGTCCGTCCGATTGTACGTCCGTCCGTCTGTTACGCTTTGGGGTACCCATCTCTTATCCGCAACACCTCTTTTACCACTGAATGAAATTTGATGAAACTTTCACAGAATCAGGGCACCCCAAAGCGTAACAGACGGACGGACATACATACCGATTACTATATACCCCCCTGCTTTTCAAACGGAGAGTATAAGAAGGCATATACGTCGATTAACAAGTATAGGTTTAATCACTGACGCAGACAAACGTTTTTCCTAATCAATCCAAAGTATTATGGCGTATTTTCTATAGTCCGCTTTTAAAAACATTACAAAGCAAGATGTGTTTGTGAAACACTATGCGCCCGGCGGCAACAAAGTTTTTTAAAAATCTATTTTTAGCATATTGATCACAGTCAAGGTCACAAGGTCATTGACCATGGTGTCATTTGAAAGAACTTAATCGGTTGAGTATGCATACTAAATATGAAGTCCCTATCTCCGAATGTTCAAAGGTTATGGCAAAAAGTGTAAAGAGATATTTTTAGCATATAGGTCACAGTCAAGGTCACAAGATCATTGACCTTGCCGTCGTTTGAAAGGACTTTATCGGTGGAGTATGCATACCTAATATGAAGGCCCTATCTCCTATGCTTCAAAACTTATGACAAACAGTGGAAAAAAAATATTTTCAGCATATAGGTCACAGTCAAGGTCACAAGGTCATTGACCATGGTGTCATTTGAAAGAACTTAATTGGTAGATTATGCATACCAAATTTGAAGTCCCTATCTTCTATGGTTCAAAGGTTATGGCAAAAAGTGAAAAAAGCTATTTTTAGCATATAGGTCACAGTCAAGGTCACAAGATCATTGACCTTGCTGTCGTTTGAAAGGACTTTATCGGTGGAGTATGCATATCAAATATGAAGTCCCTATCTCCTATGCTTCAAAAGTTATGACAAACAGTGGAAAAAGCTATTTTTAGCATGTAGGTCACAGTCAAGGTCACAAGGTCATTGACCTTGATGTCATTTGAAAGGACTTTATTAGTGGAGTATGCATACCAAATATGAAGTCTCTATCTCTTATTGTTCAAAAGTTATGGCGAAGGTTAAAGTTGACAACAGACAAACAGACAAACAGATAAACAGACAAACAGACAAACAGAAAAACAGACAAACAGACAGGACAAAAACAATATACGCCCGGGATCTATCGATCCGGGCGCATAAAAATTGACATGCGTAAATTTCAATTACAAAGTGTATAAAACACAATCCGTTCTTTTTCACACATATACTTATTTCTACCGATTTTAAACTTCATATGAGTACAATAACTGGTCCCGATAAAAAAAATCGAAACACGGAAAGTTAAGGTTACGTATGTTCTAAGAAGTCGGTGTTTCTTTATACGGGATATCTGATCCTTAGCCAGGAAGGGTAACTCCAAAAATTAATAATTTGATATGCATCAAAATGAAGCTTGAGAATGAGATTTTTTTTCATGCATCAATTTTCATTTTATTCATCTTTATAAGATTCAAGGCCTTTGGAAGTCTTACAAAAGGTCTTATAAAAGTTGATATTTGTACCTTATAAAGGGAAAAAAAATACAGTTTTACAGAAATAAGATTTTCAAGACTCTAGGCCTAGATACCAATGCTAATTAGCATGGTATGAAATAAGAAGCGATTTGTGGTTGCAATGGTCGCAAACGCCTTTTACACTATGTGTTATAGAATGCATAAAGGAAAGAAAAGACCAAAAATACCGAATAGGTATAAAAATCATAACAATTACTTTGAATGCCTGGATACCTTTTGTATTTTAACCTAAAATATGTTTGTTGATCAACTTGCAATTAGATGACGCATTGCTGATATTCCAGTTAGCTTTTTTTGTAAACATATTGGAGATATGACAAATTTCCCTGTGAAATATGTTTTATTTTAATCTTTAACTTTAAAGAAATATTGTGGATAAATTAACATAACTTTGTGAATTCAGCGATACTTTTATGAGTATTTTTGATTATGTCACTGCTAGTTTTATAAACCTGAGAATCGAACTACCTTAAGCCCGTCTAAATGTTTTTGTCAGATCAAATTCATACTTTATTCTAGGTCCAATCGTGTGGTATCAGAAATTTGAATATGCTGTGGCCCACTGGCTCCAGAAAGCAACCGAGCACGTCCTAGGCTGCGTTCTTTGTTCCCCCGGATGCTTTAGTCTATTTAGAGGTTCAGCATTGATGGACAATAATGTAATGAAAAAGTATACGTTACTGCCGTCTGAAGCATCACACCACCTTATGTATGATCAAGGTAAGAGTAAGGCGAACATGGAGATCATACCGACATTCATTTATAAACACATTAACCATTAATACATTATTCTAAGGGAAACCTTTAATTTGAAATGTCCAATCTATAGCGTATAGTTGAGGTTATTCCTCAAACGATCAATTAATTTTCCAGTAAGTGTCCATTCTTATTGAAATATTTGACAGGTTTTTTATCAACGAGAATGGACAAAAAGAAACAAACAAAATTGGCAGTACCAAGTACAGATTGGCAACAACAAAAACATTAACTACAAGTTTTATTTTACACATCTATAATTATAAATTAACAAATTTTAAAAATAAACTCTGAATCGGCTGCACAAAGTTCTAACTTAAGCCTGTAGGAATACACTAGGTATAAGGTGTTCTCTGTAAACATTATTCAGATTTCACTGGCATAGTCATTATCATGAATTTAATTAAAAGTGTACTTCCATTTTCAAATTGGCATTTTTACAAAAAAAAAAAAAAAAAAATAAGCAAGTGTTTATTTATTTCATAAAAGATCATTTATGAATTATTCAATCAAAACTTAATTTAAGTGATATAAAAGAAATAATTTTTGGTTATTGATTAAAAAAGTGTGCAAATCCTCTCAGTTTATGTCCGATCTCGCTATTTGTTGAAAGATCTATAAAGTCAGGTGGCATCTAACCCGATGTCTAAAAGAAAATTGAGGCAATTATTTGTCATGAATGGAATGGAAATAGATGTAAAGAAATTAGTAACACAATGATTTTGTGAATATGTCTTAGTAAGTTGTGCTAATATTTTAAAATTTAATGTCGATTAATGGTCATGGTTATTGGTTCAGATATATAAAATGGTACAATTTGATTCCTACATACTTTACTTAAATACTTAAAAATGTGTTCTTTCATTGATTTTCAACATACGGTCTTTTATTTCTAAGTTATTCATACCTCTTAGGCCTTTATGTACAGTTTGGATGAAAACTAAGCTTTTTTTCAATATTTCATATGTAGTACATGATGTATCAGACACGTAGCAACAGGAGGGCATAACATTTTACTACTGAAATTTTTTTTATTGAAAGGTAGGTTGCCCCCCTTCCCCAGTTTTGTACTACAGTAAAGTGATGTCGTGGAAATGTAGTATTGGAAGCAAAAATGGTACTGAAAGAAGCTGGCATCAGAAAAAGTTTGCCCCCCTCCCCACCCCCACCCCAGGGAATAGAATTTTAGAGCTTGGGGACAATGTTTCTTTTTGATGCTACGTCACTGTGTATACATAGTACAACGGATAATACTTGCTTCATAACATATAAGAAGAAGAGTGCTTTAATTAAATTGATATTTGTTGAAGTAAAAAGAAATCCCAAAATATTTGGAAATGTATTTCTTATAAATATCTATTTCTGTTCCTAAACTCAGTGCGGGACTTTGAAGTATTTCATCATGCTATATATTCCTGTGTAATAAACTGTAAATAGAATCTGAAAGATAGTTTTGTGAAATTATAGTTCTGTTAGCATTCAATACAAATACCATTTCCAGTCCATCATTGCTCTTTCAAAATCTTCAAAATTTTTACTCAAAATAAATATTGTCAGTTTAGCTAGATTTTGATTTCAACGTAGAGCAGTTGATCAGTGGTTCTCGTTGATAAGTTGTTGATCTATTCCAGCTTCATTTAATCTCGCTGCTGTTGTTGCACCCAAAGAATAATTTGTAAAATGCAATTCAAATCCTGCTTGAGATCCCCTGCTGCTTTGGAATAACGTAGACGCCAACAGCTGCATTCTGTGTTGTATATTTTAGAGGTCCTAAATATAAAGCATCACATTTGTCAGTTTTTTTGTCTCTCTCCTTTGGTATTCAAGAATATTAATTTAGCACCACTGTTTACTTATAATGGAATTAATAGCTGAATCGGACAAAAGAATGAATTTCTAAAATAAGCAATATAATTGGGACGACTTTATTTCGCGATTTGCAAAGATTAATTTTCGCAATCAAGCCTTTTTGTAACTGTCTTTGATAGGAAAAAAAAAGACTTTAAGCACCCGTTCGCGGCGAACCTAGCGAAAATTTCTCGCACGCGAAAAAAGGTTGGTTTACAGTACTTGACTAGCAAATTTGTTCCCGAACAGCCTATACCTGTTGCCTTTGGACAATTTTCTTTATATATCAGTTTATATATATTTTTTATCTTTACTTCAGCCTATGGATCATTTATAGCGTTGTATTATACTCAGATGACCGTTAAGGCCCCTTTTCCTCTTGTAATATTACTAAGTTATAGGAAATACAATCTCTAAAACATCTTCTTCATTTATAAGAAAAGACCATTTCAATTAGGTACATTGTAACTTTTCTTATCATTGTAGTGACAACTTTTTTTTTAAAATTGTTATTTGAATCAATGACCGTGTTGAAGCAATATATATATATATATATATATATATATATATATATATATATATATATATAAACTTTAAACCAGGCGAAGACAGATGGCTTTGCACACTTCTTCTTCAACAAGGGTATAGAGTAGATTATTCTGCCGGAGCTGATGCTTTTACGTATGCGCCTGAGGGCTTCAACGAGTACTTCAATCAAAGGAAGAGATGGGGTCCTTCAACGCTGGCCAACATCATGTCTTTATTACAAGACAGCAAAAATACAGTGAAAACTAATTCGAACATTAGCTGGCTGTACATCTTTTATCAAGGTATCTGCCTCTTGTGGATGATTTATTGTTTCTTGGAAGAATGCCTCGTTATACATGCTTAATTCATATGTTTTTAGGGACCAAGTCTCCCAACAATCAATTTAAATTCCCATGGGTACCAATTGTATCCCGTTTTTAACAGACCTATTTTTGTATTCGTATGAAGCAGAATTCGTCAGAAAATCTTATACGTGAAAAGAATGAAATACTTGATGAAGCCATCTACTCAACATTTAGATATATCGACGTTTTGTTTATTAACAATGGTTACTTCCATTACTATGTCAATATGATATATCCTCGTGAGCTTGTGATTAAACATACAAAAGCGTAAAACGCATCTGTTTCATATTTGGATATTTTACTTAAAAAATAAGTTGATGGTAATATAACAACCAAGTTTTATGATAAACATGATGACTTTAACTTTTCAATCCTCAGCTTCCTTTACTTATGCAGCCATACAGTACCGAACAGACCCAACCTGACACCCAAATAGTCCCAGAGAGCAGTCCCAGGGACTCCTTTGGGACCCCTCTGGGACTGCTATGGGACCTTTCTAGGACTGCTGTGGGACTGCTCTGGGACTGCCGCGGGATCGCAATGGGACTGCTATAGAAAGCAGACCAAGCAGTCTCAGCTGTCCCTGTCCCTGGGACTGCTTTGTTACAATGGACTTTGAAAAATTACGCACTTTGAAAAAAAAAAATTCAAAGTGCGTTAAATATTGGGACCAAAGCAACGCACTTTGAAAAAATAAAAATAAAAAAGTGCCTTAATATCGACCATATTAACGCACTTTGAAAAAATGTGTATGGATTGGTCAATATTTTTGCAAATCTTAGGTATGATGAATAATTAAACCTGTTTGATCACTCTTCTGTGATGAGGTCACTTCAGGATGTGAAAGTTAGCGATTTCGAATTTTCCATTTTTTAAATATTCTTTCTCTCTTAAATGCTTTATTGTACTTATTTTTTTCCAGTTTGCATGCAGTTTATGTAAACTTAAATCTATTGAATGTTTTCAACGTCACACCATTTATGTAAATACATATATTTGGGTGTAGCATAGGCATTGGTACCGGGAACGGTGGGTGTGTGTGTGTGTGGGGGGGGGGGGGGGGTTACATGTAGGCACACAACTTTTTTGCAAAGATATGTACATAATATACATGTATGTACGCATTAAAAATTGGGTCTAACCTGGGGAAGGGATCAACTTTCAATTTGCTACCGACGGCTATGTACAACGTTTAAGTGAAAAAGAGTCGGGATGACAGACCTTCTACTCGTCGTCTCCTTGTTCTCAATGAGGTTAAATGAGTATATGTAAATAAAAAAAGTTTTTTTGAAAGACATAATGATTACAAATTGATTTTATCTATAACTAAAATCTAAGTCTAGAATTTTTTGTTTCATACTTATTTTTTTTTCAAAGTGCGTTAAATGCCTCCATGGTAAAAAATGTTTATGTACACTCATAACTTTTAAATATGAGATTTTTAATTGAAAAATCTACATCTTTTACAAGTATTACGCTAAAAAAAGAGTATTCCGTGAAACTCTCAAATAAAACCTAAAAATTTATTTTATGACCATGGAATAAAATTCTGCCATCATTCTTCCTTAGCATAAACAATGTGAAGAATTATTTGAAAATTTATTAATTAATTAGTATTTAATTTATAAAAAAAAGATATTAAAAGAGTACATTTACTTGAAAAATAAACAGTTTAAAAGATTTGTTTATTTTTTGGTTTTGCTTGTGTTTACCTGGCCGATAGTGTGAATTAGTAAAGTGGTCACAACACTTCCGCTTTCATTTGCCTTTGGGCAGAAAATCAATCATGCATGCATTTAGGTACACATATCAATGTTACAAATCATTGAACATGCTACTCAACAATGGCCCTAATCTCAATCTATGATTAGCAAAAAAATCGTTTAATGAAATGTGTATAAATTTCTTCTAGAATTAATTAATTTTGAACATAATCTGAGGGTTTCATACATTTATATATTCAAAAAACCTAAATTAAAACTGAGTATTGTAGAGCTAGAGAAACTCATAGAAACTAATAATAATTAAATTGACAATAGTGAAATAGTTATTGAAAATAATTATGACTGAAGAATAATGCTTGGCAAAATTAACCAACATTTTTTTTCGAAAGCCACCATACTTAAAAGTACTTGAGCACAGATTTGAAGTTAATATTCTCTGTATCATATCACGAATTATATATTTTAATGGCATTTCACACAAAAATTAATTAAAAATCTAATATCATTTAAAAATTAATATTTAAACTTAATATTTTTTGGCGGGTTTGATTGACACATCCTTGCACTTTCACAAATTTTAACTTTATTCTTAATCCTTAGGAAAAGTTGCATTCTTGTGTCAGGCTGGGTCTGGTAGGTACTGTATACTTTTGTCACCTGCATACGGAGCTTGTATCCCTCAGGTGATTCGATAATATGAACATTCTCGACGTATGGGAAATTTCTAAAACGAGGTACATTATTGACAAATAAGTTGATGAAACAAGAATATCTTCAGCCTTGTTTAAAGTCATGATTTAGTACGTTCGAAAGTCGATACAATTACCTTGTCAGCAAATACATTTTATCATATGCTGACAGACGTTTTTTGTACAATCGTTAGCTATAGGCTATCATTTACACACTGAAATGTCGACGGATTTTCCCGTTATTTCCCTACCATGACAAGGACCACAAGGCGGGTGTGACCGATCGGCAGGGAATGCTCACTCCTACAGGGCACCTGATCCTACCTCTTATGTTCTAGAGGTCTGTGTTTGCTCTGCACCTATTTTGTATAGTTTAATGGGCCTGAATACTGTTTGTTAATGGGCCCGAATACTGTTTGTTATCTTCATATATTTCATCATGATAAAAAAGCTTCGTGTAAAATGTTAACTTGAAGCTTTATCTCATACAAAAATTCTTTTTTTGATTTATGTAGCATCTTTGATGGTTGCCACTTTAATTGGACCTGCTACAATTTTGATGATGATTGCCGGTGCCTTTGTTGCAGTCTTTGGTACTGATCTGGTCATGTCATATATTGCTTCCCTCATTCCGGCAATTCTTTATTTTATAATCTGTGTCACGTGCAGCAAGAAGATCCAATTAATTGTTGCTCAGATACTGAGTGGACTCTATGTTATTATAATGATGGTTGTACTTGTTGGCGTCATCATAACCGCTGTCACAGAGTCTCCGTTTCACCCCAGCGTTGTATTCCTCATTGGAATAGTGGCGATCTTTGTATTTGCTGCACTGTGTCATCCGAGAGAATGGAGCAATCTTATTTTTGGTTTCCTTTACTTCATTCTGGTGCCATCTGGTTTTCTGATTTTGATTATATACTCATTATGTAATTTAAATGACGTGTCATGGGGTACACGTGAAAGTGGAACATCGGAAGCCAAAGTAAAGCAGAAAAAAGGTGTTCTTTCCAAAATACTATACCCATATCACAAACTAAAAAAATCTCTTTCAATTTCACGGAACTCTGAAAAGGACGCCTACATAAACCTGCTCAAATCGATGACCGATGTTATGGAGCAAAGTAAAATGACAAAGAAACGTACTTCCTCTGAAGGAGATTTAAGAGAAGTCATCGTTGACACTGGTAATAAAAGGGAGGAAAAAGAGACTGAAAACAGCAAAGCACAGGTAATTCCACCGTATATGTTTTCGATTACTTAGTCTAAAAAAAAATCCTGTTTAAGATTCATGTAATTTCACGTGCATTTTGAATGGAATTCATTTGAAATTTAGATGTATTTGCAGGATATGTCACATTTTGTATATCAAATAATCAAAATGTAAATGTTTTCAGTTCAAAACAAAAAAGAATTTTAAAAACCTTATGATAAATACTACTGACATTTCCCTTCCTTTGGATGTGTTACAGAGAACTTACTTACTTTTTTTGAAAGCCTAAATGCAATCTAAAACTGTAAAATCAAAGACTATGGAAGTTCTTAAGGTCATTTTATTAACTATTACCACACATACTATAAAGGGGAAACAACTCTTGGTGTTAAGTTTCGTTATTTGAGCGTTCTTTAAATAATTTACCAAAAAAAAAAAAAATAAGCGTAACTTTCTGCTTAATATTCTAACCTGTACTATATTATAGTTAGCTCTAGAACCCCCTCAAAACCCTATAATCAGTGTTAAATCTGTGTTATACTAAAATGAATTGCTTATATGTGAATTGCTTAGAAGTGTGTAATGCAAAATATGCCTGCTCAGTTTGAATATATTGATAGTTTATGCCCAGTACTGTATTTTTTTGTTTTATTTTTGGTCATGTAATTTTGATTAAAACACATCAAAAGGTGAAAGAAGTGAAAAGTAACAAGGACTCTGGAACGGGATGGATTGCCAATTGTGTGTTTCCAGGCACTTACACTGAAATGAAAGAGCAAGAGGCTAATTTTTGGAGAATATTTGTTAATGAGTATGTATATATTTTGATAATGGTATTTTCGCATTGAGACTAGATATACCGATATTCAAATCTTTTATCAAAAGATACACCTTTTAGATAATATTTTCAATAAAATTATTCTTTTTAAACAGAATTTTTTCTATATGTATATAATATTAGAGACAGTACGATTTTTGTGTTTTCTTCTGTTTGGCGAGTGTTGCCGGTACTTGTATTCTAAGTTCAAACTCCTTACTTTTTTAAAAATGATAGTCATATACAATAACCCTTTCTCTACCAGCGCATTTTACGTGATTTTGATATCTTTTGACATGGCATTTATTTCTACGTTTTTTTTATCCTAGGAGAAAGCTAGGTATAAGAAATACCATTTTGTAGGGAATTTCATATAGGTGACTGTTCAGATACTCAACGACTTACCTTTTTAGTAATGATAGAGGTCAAAGGTCAATTAAATGCAAAATTTTGAGGAATTATTTAAATACTTTTTAATCTTCAAGCTTAATATTAAAAGGGATGTTTCTTGAAATAGGATATTTGGACTTTTTTTAATTATCAAATTTAAATACGAGGCCATAAAAATTTAGAAGGGACATACAGAAGATAAATTGACTTAAACTTAGACTTCTTAAGAGCTAATTTTAGGAGGTCAAAGGTAAAATAAGTGCAAATTGTCATCAATTTTTTCAACACTTTTTAATATTCTTGCTAAAATTTTACACAATGATTTCTGAAATGGAGAATTCTGAATAAACTTTCAAGAATGGGTCAGAACTGCAATGTCCATACTTCATTTTAGTTCGAATATTTGTAAAAAGGGCTTCAAGTGTTTGCTAAGCAACAACAATTTCAATTTTTTGGTTTTATGCATGTACAAGCTTGTTATTTTACATTCTGGACACATTCTAGACACGTTGTATAGTCCATGATATTGTATGTAAGATAAAGGCCCCACAAATGAAAGAACATTTTGTATTAAGTATTGACCTTGACACTATTGTTCTTTGGGTTCAAGGTCATATCAGTACAGAATTCTGTTTTAAATTGTAAGTATATATCAATTTTGAAATGTTTCAATCATAGATAAATCATCTAATAGTTAACGTAAAAAATAGCAAATGACAAAATTTGCAATCAAAGAATTCTGGTCCGCTACTCTTCTCACAAACCTCTAGCATATCATGCTATCAAAACCTTTATACAATCTTTTTGTTACAAACACAAAAAAATCCTTTCTCTTGATGCCATAAAAAAACCTTTATTTTCATGAATTTAATCTTAATTATGTGATTCAAGTATTTAAATGATAACGCAAAATGTAATAATCGAAGTTTATTACAATTTGCGTTGTTATTAGATATCGCGTTGTAACAGCGTCTGCTATAGAGTCGATGAGTAAGAAGTTGATCCTTACGTTGCGGGTTTGAATCCCACTGTAAGACGTGGAGATTTGTCTGTCGGATGAGACCGTATAAACCGAGGTCCCGTGTTGCAAAAGGTGCTGGCACGAATAAGATTCTTCCCTGATCAATGGCCCTGAGTGCTGAGTATACGTCAAAATTTGAAGCTCTCCACCAGCAAGCGGTGGCTTCTCCATATGAGTGAAAAATTCATGAGCAATAGGGACGTTAAACAACAGATAAACAAACAAACAAACAAAAAATTAAGGACATATCTTTAAATCAAAACTGCACTCGACATCAATCCCGATGCAAATTACCTCGTTTCCATTGCGCATAGCAATACTCACCCAGAAACAATCACACATGATTGGCTTTTATAACTTCTCCAACTCCTTTGGAAGGGGATAATAATATAGTTGAAGCATTTCATATTGTCAACACCAGACTATCACGCATTGTTTTTAAATAGGTATTTAGAACCCATCAAAGAAGACAAAGATAAGGAAAAGAAAGTGGAAGAAGAATTAAGAGAACTGAGGAATAATGTATGTGGAGGAATGGCCCTGATTAACCTCCTCTGGATATCAGTGAACTTCCTGTTCCAATTGCGCAGACCAACAGTCGTCACATTTGTGAAACTGGTGCGATGGCTTAATTTTAGTTGTGTCTATTTTAGTTGCTCCTCGGCTTAAAGTACTATTTAGTGAATCTTATAGCTTTATTTGCACAACAAAATCTATCAATATAACAAATGAACGACAGTTTTATTTTTTCAACTGAATTTGATTAAATGAAACTAATTTATGACTTTTCATATTGTAGGAAAATGGGGAAGAAATAAAAACTGATATTCTTGGCTTATTGTTCATAATTTTCTTCACCTTGATTCTGCTTATTCAGTTTTGTGGTATGATTATGCACAGGTTTGTATTTTAAAAAAAAAAATACAGGTAACCCAGATGAAACACCTGTACATGTAACAATACACAAAAATAATTGTAAAACAGAACGCAGCAAATTAACGTAAAAGATCAAACTACTTTTAACAAGATCAACGTTTTATTTCAAAACCTAAACTTTTATAATGAATAAATAGAGTAAAGCAAGTAAATGCATGAAAAGATGTTGCAATATACTTAATTATAAATATTTTCAGATGGGGGACATTTTTACACCTCGTAGCTATTACCGAGATTCCCAACCCTTTTAAAAGTAAAGGAGGAAACACTGTTAAAGAAGTCAGACGATTTTGTAAAGTTACACAAGCTGATCAATTCGTAGAAATTACGTCAGAGGAAGAAATGATGAAAGAACAAAAATATATAAAACAACAAATTTTCAGTCTTCAGGAAACAGGTTCACTGAAGCTATAACTCCAATGATGAAATATGGATTTAAACTTTCTCTTTCAGTATGAATGCAAGTATAGAAGAAAAAAATCATTACTTATTTTTTCTGATTGCAGGTAGAAAAGATAATGTTGGACATTATGAAGAAGAATCGCCAACAGATCTCGCTTCGATATTGCGATACACTCAAACGAGGGAAAGGGATCTTAATTCAATGGAGGCAACTAGATATAACAAAAATACAAGTAAGACTGAAGAAGCAAAACGAGTCAGATTTGCAGGAACAGCAGAAGCTAAGCGAAACATCCGTGAAACTATAATGCGAAATAGAGGAATGGAGACCGATAACGTTGATACACAGCAAGGAGAAAATTTTTCGTATAGTGGAGGACTTATGCAGCGAAGATTGTGTAGGTCGAAAAGGGACGCAAAGCATTTCTAAGCGGAAATCAGTCTTTTCATTAAGGATACTCTTATAAAGTGGACGTAAAAATAGCAAAAAATATCTTACCCGTTTATAATTATCCTTTTTGGTCGTATAAAACTTAAATCAGCGTATTTTTTTTTATCTATTAATTAATTAAAAAAATATATTAGTAAACTGTGTCATTGGAGTTTTATGCATAATAATTATATGTTCATGTATTCAGTATTTGCTCATTGTATGTTCTTTACCATAGCATCTATCGTCAAATGAAATGTTTGCTGACGTTTATCATATGAATTGTTAGACAGGTATTTTACGGTGATTTGCCAAGGGATAATACTGTAACTGTTTCAATATGTATTCTCAGAGAACCTGTTTTGCTCTGAAAATATTTTCTGACTGAAAAACAGTTGTTATCCTTTCATTCCATTCATTTGTGAGTGAGAAAAAGCCATTACAATATACATGTACCTACATGTATTTTACTATGAATAATTCTTTTAATTCTATGTAATAAGCTCTACCTACTTTGAAATAAAATGCCTTTATTTAGTTAGGGTTCCGATCTGCTTCTTAAACGCTATAAAGATATACATACATTAAGTGATTTTGTTAAATCATATTATGATATTCTCATATTTAGAACTTATATTTTATTAGTTTATATCCATTAAAAACGTAAAGTATCTTAGAATTTGCGACTCGTTTGAATTGTGAAACACCACGAAACCTTGAAATGTTTGTAACTTTTGATCAAAGGGTTAGCCTAAGATTTCTCAACATGTGAGTTGTATCTCTATTAAAAAGGAAAGGAATATTGCAAAGGAATTTCCGGTCCAGGTTGGATAAAAAACAAACCAAAAAAAAGACCCAAAAAAAAAAAAAATAAAAATAAAAAGAAATTAAAAAAATAATCAAGAGAAAAAGAAACATGACCAAAGAAAAATAAATTTTAAGAAGGTCCTACACAAAACTTGAGAACGTCTAGATATAAAAAACAATGCAGAAAATCAGCATTAAGTTTAATATTATCTTCGAAAAAATCTTCCTTACCAACCTAACCGATTTTATCATCCTTAGTCTTAATAGGGCAAGCAAACATTATTGTAATTAAAAGTAAGTTTGAGGATTATGTCACAATTTGTGATAATGGCGTTGAAATAATCTCTAGCTGTAACCAAAATTTAAAAAAAGAGGAAAGAGTACGTGAAAACAAGTTTTTCAATGTGATCAACAACAAAATACAAAATCATCTGCACACAAACACACTCACAGCACGTATACCCACAACACTCATACAAATAAAAAAATAAAGTAAAAAAAAAACAAAAAAATAATAATAGCGCCTATACACCGAATTAAATATTTTCAAACCCGACCAGACAAATGTTTTTGACACATGCAAATAACTGCAGATCTTTTTATAAATGTGACCCAAGACGTTATCGTATTGTTCGTTCAGTTCGTATATACGAGGGGTGATTAAAAAGTTCTCAAACTAATTGAATAACTTCCATACAAGAAACAATATTTGGTTTTAATGTTGATTATATTTTTAATTAATCCTCCCCGATTTTAATGCACATCAACAACCATTATGCGCATGCGCAAATCACGTGATATTGGCGGTCACGTGACCCCCTCTGCACCGTTCTGTCACAAAAGTTAAAAGATTTTTCCGATTTTATATTTCTTTTCATGCGAGTTAATTTTTATGACTAGAACAGTTTATTTGTCAGAAATGGTCATATCTCGGCAACAGAATGGGTGGATAAGGCCACGCCAATTTTTAAAATAGTTTTTCGGATTTTCAAAACTAAAAAGAGAGGCGAGCGAGCGAAAATATTTTATAAATATAATTTTTTTTATTTCAGTTTTCAAAATTATGAGGCGAGCGAATATAATTAATATTAGTGGCAAAAATTTCTAAGTTCTTCTATAGTACACAGGGGTGTGCAATCGAGGAAAAAATCAAGTACTTTCCCACAGGCTAGTGGCAGCTTTTAAGTTAATAGCCCCTAGTAAAAAGTTACTAACCCAAACAGAGGGACAAAAATTAAAATAAATACTTATCTGGAGAAGAAATTAATTGCTGAAAAAGTCAGGGTACTGGGGTCATTCTTTTTAAAATTAAAATTTCTCACTATAAATATTAATTCATGCATAAATTATTATGATAAAAAAATTAAACTAATTTAAATGAATTATCTTCCCTTTTTCTTGATCATTGCACTAGCTAATCTAGAATAAAATCAAATTCATTTTGTTTTCATCATTAATCATTAAATACACTTGAAATATATTTTATGTGAGTCACAAAACACTTATCTTTCAGGTCATTGGATAATCGTAAATAATTTAATGAGATATCTGCATGTATTTACCATAAATACAGGAATAGAGGAAATTCGGGCTAGGAAAAAACGATCGTTTTCGGAAGTAATTAAATCAGATAGAAGTACAAAACATATAAGATTATGGAGATCCATTGACAATAGGAGCATGTTGTCTGGAAAATTTTAACTGGTTGGGAATTTTATAACAAATACAAGTGAAAATACCGATTGTTCTTTTTTGTTGCTTTGCTTGTGTAGTTATGTTTTTTACTAGCCAGACGGGCTATCTCCTTGCAGAAAACAACTAGCCCGATCCCCAAAAATGGTAGCCCCGGTTGTTTGAATATGCTAACTGCTCAACCCTGCTATATACAAACAATTACACGAGCATCTTGCAAAACTTTACAGACTGCTACGAAGTACAAACACACACTAAATCCTGCGCTTTTGTCATACAAAGAAGATGGGCGCATTTGGCGGGTGATCTGCAGGAATCATTTGTACGAAACATTTATGGTTTAAATGTCCATGATTTGGTTGGCTGAACATACCTGGTCAGATTTTACAAGCACGTCCATGGGTTATTTTTTTCATTTAGTTTGAAAGACATTGTGAAATTGTAACATTTATGTCCATTTTTTTCTAGGGGGTACTATAACATAGTAATGTTTCACAAAAAATTAAACCTAAAATATTTAATGCATAGATGCATGATACGTGTACATGTACATGTATAGATTAGAATTGATTTCGCTTGAGAACCAAACTGAACCAAAATTTATCTAATTCAAAATTTTTAAACATCAGTACATAAAACGAAACTGACAAAATAAATGGTTGTTTGCCTGAATAAAAAAAAATAACGCCCCATGCCAGACTCGAACCAAAAACTTCCCGTTTCGAGTGCACTGAACAGGTAGAAATTGGGCTACCAGAAGATTTAAAGAAAAAAAATATACTTAGTGTTTTAATTTTCCTACTAACAATGATCGGGAGAACCGGGATCGCGACTTGCTTCCGACGCATTATAATTAATTATCTTTAAAAATCATAGGCCTATCCGGTAAAGATGTTTAAGTATATGTTTCATGTAAAATTTTATTTTTTTTCTAAACTGTCTAACTGTACCTGCATAGCAGGTTTTTCTGTATGCAATTCTCAAAAAGAAGATCTGACTAGACCATAAACCAAACAGACAAAGTCAAAATGTAGATCTAGAATATTTTGACTTTCACATATTAAATATTTTAAATGTGAAATTGTCTTATAATTATATCAAATATTAAATGTATGATTTTTTAAATTAAATTCATAATTTATTCTTTTTTAAAATTTCAGTTCATCATCTGTCGTATGTGATATTTTTCAAACATGCAAAATATATAGTTGCTTAATAAAATTCAAGATGATAGAATTTTTTTTTTTTTCATTTAACTTCAGTTTCTTCTCAGTTTATGGTCAGCTCAGTGCCGTACAAATGTATTTCAATTTCCTATTTTGTTTTATGTGTGAAAATTTAATAATTTATGTTTAATAGAATATATTTTCTAAATTTGATATTGGTTGACAGATTGACAGTATATAAACATGATAAATATTGCATGTAGTTGAGCGTAACATTGACAATTTTCACCCCAAGAAAACCATTGTCAACCGAGGCGCAGCCAAGGTCGACAATGGTTTTCGAGGGGTGAAAATCTTTAATGTTACACTCAACTACATGCAATATTCATTATATTATACTGAATGTTTTATACAAATACATATTACAGTGAACCGTGCAGGCATAAATTCCGCGCAGTCACTATTTTTTGTAATACCACCCGTCGTCAAGCAATGTTGACTGTTGCTACGCAGGAGGGCATGGCTTCATTATTCAGCGGGTAGTAGTGCTTTTTTTCAAATGTTTCTCGACGAATCAGATTCAAGTAATTTACATGAAAGTATAATATTAATAAATATTGTATTGAGGTCACACATGTTCCTAAGATCTTATAAAACATGCAAGAGAAATTCAGAATTCACAGTATTTACAGTATTTATAACTCATTCTTTTAATGTTTCAATGTTTTACATGCATTTAATTTGACTTTCTTATTCGACGCTCAAATTGAAATTCAAATGTCAGAGTTATTGTCAGAGAGATGGTCATAAACTGAACAGTTCAACAAATGTCAACAATGCACAGAAAACATACACTGATCTCCTTAATGAAAGCACTATGATTTCAGTCTTAGGAATCTTTGACACTGGTTTGAACATCTTTCATCATTTACTCTAACAGCATATGGCATGAACTGCATTCTGCACAGCTGCAAATCTGCAGGGTTTCCTGAAAAAAAATCACATAATTATAGGCATGTAGATTGTAAATCTTGTCATACACATTTCATACACATTTAAAATGATTTTGATTGTGATTATCTTTCACATTTCATGTACAATTGGCTTTAATTTCACCCTTTTCTCTAAAAAAAAATAATGCATTTAGAAATCATGAAAAATAAAATCTTACACTGCAACCTCAGTCATATAAAATTAAGGAAAAAATCTTATTTAAGATTATTTACTTTATACTTTACATTATAATTCATTTTATCTTGACAACTTGCTAACAAGTATAAATACATTTGTTTTAGTGACTTTTCTCTATTTTCTCTTTGTATTTATCTATTTAAT